TTCAAGGCCTTTTCCACCTGATCCTCAGAGTGCAAGTCCACATAAACGTAACCTGAAACACACACACACACACAGACTTATAGTATACAACAACACGCACATACAACACAACTATGTACAATGTATAATGCATCATGAAAATATTGTATTTTATGCTGAGTAATATTTTAACTGAACTAAATGGGCCAATAATAAAGTTTGTAATAACATACCGGTTCTATTTCCACTTTCATTCTTCCCAATCCTGATGGCTGCGGGCTTCAGCGGGGTCATGAACTCTCGAATTTGTTGCTAATAATGTGAAAAATAAAAAGAAGTTTGTGATAGACAAAGTAATGTACACGGGGTTTCAAGGGCTGAATATCTTCAGCACACCTCTGAAATCAGGAAGCTCTATCTCACTCACCTCTTTCACGTTGAATGGAGCTCCTCTCAGCTTGACGGTGAACTCTGTCACAGGCTCCGTCTGTAAAGAGCACATGTTGGTGTGAACTAGTTCAATCTGAAATCTCCTACTATCCTGTGTTGAATCATTACGTCTAAACGTGAACATCTCCATGAACACTCACCTCTTGTTTGGCTGTCGTCTTTGCTTTGCTCTGTTTCTTGTTCTCAGAGGAATCTGAGGTTTGTTTTTTTGAGATGTTTTCTCTGTCTCCACTTTCATAGGCACTGTCCGTGTGCTGTACAGGAACACCATCCTCACCATCAGCACCTTCATCACCATCCTCCTCTTCATTTACCTCCATGGTGTCATCTGTTTGTGCAACCTTAGAACGCAGGTACTCCATATCTGATAACCCAGACTCCAGTGCTTCTTCACCGGCACCTGAAAGTAGCAACATGCCTCTGATACTTCAAATAGTCACATGTGTACACCTCCATGGTACGTTATTACACATGCATACTCGTTTTCTCATGTTTGATGAAGTAGAAGTAGCACATCATTAATATATCAAACTATATATTTCTCTATGCATGTTGTTATCTCCATCACAAGAAGTGAGCGGAGTTCAAAAGATTTATTTAGTGTTATCAACATCAATTTTGTCCCAGTTCAGACACTTCAGCCTCATAGTCTCTTGAGAAGAACTAAAGGCCAGACTACACCAACTTCTTCTATTTCTACATGTTTTTAAAAGTGAAATATTTCCAGGTAATGACTAAAACATGTAAATGTTTGTGGTAATCTGGGGAAAGTTAAATGGACTTGTATTTGTCTTGTGACGCTCTGTAAATCCAGACATCAGAGCTGTGTCACCTTTACAATGGGACACAGCTTCATCTCTGTTGACTGAATGAGGGACCATTATTACCAACCTTCATCTTCATCACCCTCTTCATCCTCCTCTTCCTCTGACTGGTCTGAATCAAAGTTGAGGTAATCATCTGCAGCAGGTTTCTTTTTGCTCTGAGCCTTCGCCCGTCCACTGTCAGGATCAGCCGTCTGCTGCATGCTGTCGTTCGCCCAGGTTGGTGCTTGGCTTCGATTCTGATGAACTGACAGAAACTCCTTGAAGCCCTGATCCTCTTCCAGCTGAAACACACAACACATAGACACACAATCGTTACAATATCACTTAAAATACAATATCAGAACAAAAAAAATGGTGTTGTTTGTACTATACATTGAGAATAACAAGTACCTTATCACAGAATATTATAAAACAAAACTCAAGAGTATCTCATGTGTTCTAGGTTCCTCTGGATCGTTTGTCCCTATCCTTCTTCCTGCATCTTATCCCATCCACCCCTATCCCATTTTTATTTTGTAATATAATAATGAGTAAGGTATTGTACTTGCTTTTTGTAGAATGTCTCGAGATGACATTTGTTATGAATGGGTGCTTTACAAATAAAGATTGATTGATTGAAATATGGACAACAGCACATAATCACACATTTACTCACATTTCCAAGTGTGCTTGTGGTTTCCTTTTTGTGTTCCTTTTTCTGAGGGCAAAAAAAAAAAAACATTTTAAAAAGAAGAAATGCCACACTTAGAAGTTGAGCATCGCAGAAAACATTATTCTCCATTTCCAAAATAAACTAAATATACTATTTGAGTATGCAGACCCATCAGAGAGATTTAGTCTGGATGATTTCTTCATCAGTATCACGATCTTTGCAGGGTGGGTGACCTTTAATGCTGAGGTGGTCATCATGTGATTTCATTCATTTATTCTGCATGTACCTTCTTGCTGTCAGTGTCAGCAGGAGTAGTGGGCTTGTCCGGGCCCGAGCTCTGGGTATGTTTGCTCCAGGCTTTGGCTTTAGTGGGATCTCCAAATGCTTTGCACATCTCCACCTAGAAGAAAAATTACAACTACGTGTTCACGTCCATGCAAGTAAAGTTAGAAAGGCACTATGAGATGTTTGTTGCCATGACTGCACCTTACCGTGACTCTGGAAGTGTCCACGAAGCTCTTATTGAAATGCTTCAGTGCTTTGTTCGCATCTTCTTCATCTTTAAAACCCACAAAGCCGAACTTGCGGAACTTGCCGTCCTTAGTGAACTTGAGAGAGCAGTCAGTCACAGTGCCGAAAGCAGCAAACATGGACCTGAACCTCTCCTCCTTCATCTGCACACGAGATAATAACACGGTTAGATTTTCAGCTGGATTCAAACTACCTTCTTCTGATATATGGACGGGTTACTTACCCCGTTTGGGAGGTTTTTAACGATGACTCTCGACATACTTGTAATAGTTTTAATTTCAACACTTTCGCATAAACTTGTTTTATGAATATATGTCAACAAACGAGCGTGGACTCATCCTCTAGGTCGCCATCTTGAGTGGGAGGAGCCTTCTTCTTCTTCGTTTACTCCGGCGGACGTCAGTGTTTGTGAACATTATCGCCTCCCGTTGGAAAGATGGTGAATGCCCTCGATTTAACGGATTTATTATCATTATTATCATTATTATCATCATTATTATTATTATTATTATTATTATTATTATTATTATTATTATTATTATTAATAATAATAATCCATGCAAGTAAATTCATATTAATAATAACAATAATAATAACAATAATAATAATTTAATATTTACAGTCTATGGATTTAACTCGATTTTATTTTTTTACAATTAAAAAGAAACAATTTTTCCTTAAACATATTGTGTAGACTCACTGCACTCACTGTGATATTGTAACCTGAAAATACAGATGTGGTAAGGTAGCCATCTTGGTAATCATTTTTGAATTCATCATTGCACAGAGATAAGTTGTCGTACATTTGACATATTCTGTGATGGGGTTTAAAATTTACAGTCTATGGGTATAAATGGCTTGTCACCAAATGTTATTGTGCATATTTCTGATTTTACAGTTAAATGTTTTATTTTTAGAACAGGGTTTGACCTCTTTTCCCACAACTATCAATAGCATGCTCTAATTGAATGGAGCCTGATATATCTTGGTACCATTAGACCAAAGTAATGCTGAGCTTCAGCCTCTTGAGCCAAATTTAGCATAAAACTCAACTGATTTCATTGTTTGACAGCATTATTGAAGACATTTACATCTGGAAAAGATTGAAAGTATCTAAATTATCGCTGTATTTTATGCAACAACAAAAAAAACATGAATGCAATGTGTTGTAAATCCTACATGTGACATTAAGAAAACGCTGACCCTGCAAGTTGTAGATTATTCTTACAGGTTCACTGATTGTAAAAATAAGTGGGTCTTACTAGTGGAAACATAAATATGTGAAGTTGAATTGCTGTGGCTACATGGAAAATGCAGACTGACTGCATGTCGTTGGAATGTGGTTATGTTTTGTGCACCACTTGTAGCATCTGAAAAGATAAGCTGCTTATGTCAGGTCCTGCATTATTACTTCATCTTCAGGCCCCTGTCATGTGCAGTGGCCGTGTGTCAGAGCCTAGTCCCACAACTTCATTATTATTGATTATGGGGAGCATTGAGATCAAGCCTGGGACCAAGTTCTGGAGCCCTTTTTTTTTTTCTGGAGATATAATAAGTATAATTGTTTTGTCATGAAAATCTCTCTGTGCTGCACTTTAAAAAGCAGTGTGGGTGGTTCTTTGGCACAGAGGACGAGAGGGATGGAGGTTACTCAGCTCAATGTACGCCTGGGTGTCCTTGTGGATTAATCTGGTTATGTGTGGGTCTCTGCTACAGACAAAGAACCACTTTTGAATTAAAAAAAAAAAAATAGTAGTCCCCTAGTTTAAAAAAAAAAAACTGTCACACAATAGAAACTTGCCAGAAATTACTGGCATAGAAGGAAAGCATGACTGTAATGTGCTGCTTCAGTTTAATTTACCAGTACATATTATTCTTAACTGTTCATTTTTCTTACCAAATGAAACATTTGTTCAATGTTTGCCAAACGGAAATCAAAAATATATTGGCAAAATAAATAAACCAATTCCATCCCAGTTTATTGAGCAGCGACTTATTTTACATGTTGGGAATTTTAGTCAAACACTGAAGAGTAGCAGTCAGCAGAATTTCTTTGAATGAGTTCCCTCTTGGTTATTTGTTTCACTATGAATGCCTTGTGTTCATTCAAGTGTTCTTTAACTAAACGTTGTTCCTATTTTTATGGAACAGGCCTCCGTAATGTGTCGCTGTTGTCTTACAAGAGTGGAACCAATAACAAGATCTTAAGGAAGTGGGTTTGTGCTTTATGCAGTGACAATGTGACCCTTTTAGTGAAGCATATTTCCCATAGCCTGTTTGTAATATTTTGTCTGTTTGACACATATTTTAGGCGACTATCTATACTCTTATGCTTTCTTCCTCTGGCACTGTAAATATAGGCCTGCATGGGACACACCTCAATGAACCCCTTGTCCTCCAAAACTGAAATCTAAGAGGTTTGATTGGCACTCTGATGCTTTTCATGAATGAATCCTTACTTTTAAAAGAAAATCCTTGATAAAAGTTGTACAAACCAACATTTATTTTCACCAAAATATTACAGATTAAGATCAATTACATGCATATTTGTGGGTGACAGAACAAGACCTAATCATTCTACAACAGTACACTGAAGTTCAAGCAAGGCTCCATAACTTACAACACCTTTATTATCATGCTACATTTTCTAAAGTATATGACTGCTCTTTGTGATATAAGTAAACTCTATATAACACATATAAATCTCAACACGTGTGACCCCTGAGTCATCGGTTATGCTTCATATAGACGTCGATAACAGTATTGCTCCTGCTCCATCCACGCCATTCACCTTTTTGTGGTTGTTTGACTGGAACGCATTCTCGATTTCAAGAAAGGTTTTGTTCTTGGTTTCAGGAACAGCAAGACAAATGTATGTTGCCACTAAGGCACAGATGACCAAGAACACAAGGAAACAGTACTGCTGCAGCCCGATCTGTGAAAAGGAAACATTACAAAAGTAAGAGTCACTCTCTCAAATATCCAATATTTGTTTTCTTATCTGAAGTGTTCCAGGTGATGATTTAAAATATTAAATGAACTATTGTGATTCTATAAAATATGTTTGGACATTTACCACAATAAAAGGGAAGGCCAGGCCGATGAAGAAGAAGCTGAACCAGTTGAGTGACCCTGAGATAATGTATGCTGCAGGCCGCGTGCTTTGTGTGAATAGTTCAGCGGTCAAGATGTTAGTCACACCACCTTCATGGAAGAGAGAACAACAAAAGATATCTCTGTTTTAACTGTGGTGCAGATCAGTGGCCACTGAAAGGATGTGTTTAGGCTATACATATTCAGAAAGTTACCTGGTCCTAGGCCAAAACTCAGAATAAAAGCAAATACACACGCCATGCTCAGGTATGGGACTATAGGGTTGGCCTCCTGTGACGAAGATAAAGACACAAAAGCACAAGTGTTTGGAAATTGAAATAGCATGTTATTGTTAAATCTGTAGTAAATCATGAAGTCTCTTGAGATACAAAAAAAATAAAAATGGCATAATATGGAATGCCAAACGGGTCAGGAAAAAATACAAATAAGACTAGGTAAAACATGATCACTGTTAACTTAGTTTCCAATCAGAGCTTTGAATGCAAAATTCCATAAGGCTGCTCTAGTGGAGTAAAAACCCGAAATGCTTTGTGATGTACCAATGCTGCTGTCTCCTGTCTCTTAATAAAGACCATGCAGGACACCAGATAATTAAGTACACATTGATGTTAAAGGGGTAATGAAGTGGATTTTCAATGTGTAGCACCATGAGATACTTTAGTCCAGTCAACAAGGTGAAGAGAAGGCTGCATGTCATATATAATGTGCCCATAGTCTTAAATACGTCAGAACTTGGTCCATGTAAGTGTTTTGTTGAGTCCTAAATGAAGGAAGGCTCAGTTTCCGTAGTAGAAACCAGGCCTGACGGTTGGTTTCTTCACTAGGATCTCTCTGTGAGAGAGAGTATGTCAATACCAAAGTCCTTGACAGATGATACTGTTTCATTTGGGTTCGCTCTTACAGTATGAATGCCATCATTATCTGATATTTCAGAGCGGCTCTGGAGAAGATCATACATTAGAGGAGAGGCTTCTGATTAGACTACTGTATCATCTGCATAAAGATGCGCTTTAGCTGCGAGAATATCTTTCCCAATCTATTTCAAACTTTAAGATCTCCGTGAAGCTTGACTTGTGACCGTCTGAATATACACAATGGGGTTCTGAACTGTCTCCAGCATTGCCAACCACACCAACAAGTCTGCACATCCGCAACGCATGGTCAACAGAACTAAATGCCTTGAAATGATCAAAAACACTAAAGCCAGATTGATTTTGAATTTTTGGATTCCTAAAAAAGGGTTCTGTCGGATTAAACATCCAGGCATTTAGATGTTAAATGTAAAAGCAAACTGACAAGAGTGGTCAATACCGCTAGTAAAATCACAGATGCCACTCTGTGACAGGCATGTACTGAAAACTAAAAAGAAAGCCCGGTACATAACAAGTGACCCTTCCTGTACACACCTCCTTTATGCGTGCAGGGCAAACCAGATGCACCCAATAGTCTAACCCAAAAGAATCACAAGTTTACTAAATGCCCATGTTTTGGTCATGCCCTCCAACATTTCTTACACATAGTGTCTTCTTCAATAATACAGCACGCCTCCACTTGCTCATATTGCAATCGTCTCATGCATGCTTTTTCATTAACCACTCTCCTTCCCAGAAGGCTTAATCTCCTTAAATGAACTAATCCATGCAGATATGTTTATATATTTAGTTTTTTGCCCATGAGCAGCGCTAACTATTTTCCTTACTGTAATGCTCTGTTCCTTAATGCAACCAGAGACAGTGGGTAGAAAGCCAATGAAACCAGTGAATAAAATATCATTTTTTTTACACAGCTTTCTTTTTAAGGTCCTTTACCTGGAAAGTGAGTGTTAGCGTGATTAAAACGCAGCAGATACTCATCAGTGTGTAGCCTCCTGCGATGAGCACTTTCCTTCCCAGACGGTCAATGAGCAGACCCTGTGAGACACACAGCATGTCACAAGATCAAGATGACTTTTCAGGCAAAAGCTGTCTCAAACATACTCCGACCTTTCATGGTCATGTTCTAGTTTTGTTCTGTTAAATTCTACTCCACGGTACTTAAGTTTGTTTCACCCATTATGCTGTTTCACACATTTGTTCACACTTTTTTTTGCTCTCTTTCACACATGTATATTTTTCTTGCTTTTTAGTTTTTTAACATTTACTGCATGATTTGTTCTTGTGTTGTTCTCATTTCTATATCAGACACATTTGTCTTTGGTGGAGAATGCAGTTCTAGTTTTTATATTCATGAATTTCATGAGGGTGCTAACTGTCTAAATGTGAGTCATATGCTTGAAGCTCTTTTCAGAGGTGCACAATGATGAGCTGTTTAGGCCTTGTTTTGTGCACTTATCCCTTATTGTGTTTTTCTGAAGCATGAAGAGACATCCCAAACAGATAGTAAACCTCACCACAGCTATGCACACAAGATAAAAGTGTGAAACTATACTTACACATGTTAGAGCCGTGACACATTCACAAGCACCAGTGCCTATCGTCACATATGGAATCTTTTCAGAGGGAATACCGGCTTGTTTGAACAAGTAATCTGCGTAGAAATAAATCTAGAGGGATCATAGCAAAGAAGAACAAACAAAACAATGATCTCTTTCCTATTAATTAGCAGTATTACAGCAGAGAAACTGATATAAGACAACATCATCATATACATACAGCATTGATGCCATTCAGCTGTTGTGCAGCGTTGAGCAGCAAGATGGTAAGAAGCTGCCAGCGGATAGTAGGATCATAGAAGAGCTCCCAGGGTTTCTTTGCTTTAAAACCTACAAAATTGTTCCTCTCCTTCTCGATTTCTTCCCATTCACTGATACAGCCAGCTGCTCCGTGCAGCTGCGCCAGAGCTGCAGACGAGAGAGCACATGACTCACTTGTTAATTGTAATTTTTTCTGCATTCATCATTCATTTAATCTGATTGTTCTGTAGAGTCCGTTTTTCGTGGATAATACCATCAAAAGGTTTACTGCAACACATCAGTTTCTTTTCACACTACCAGACTGTGGCCTCATGCTTGAACTCACATTAAGACAAATAACTCAGTCTCGAGTGATGCCAGACAATAGGGGGTCCACAAACGTTTAAGTGACCCTGTCACGTGCGCTAAATCAACCTTTCTGTGCCAAATATCCAATCAGAGCAAGTGAGAGTTTTGGTTGACCTTTTTTACATCTGGCATCATCTCCTTTGTCAATGAGCAGGTATCGTGGGCTCTCAGGGAACCAGGGCAGGATCAGGAGCTGCATGATGGCTGGGACACATGTGGTGGCGAGCAGGAGATGCCACTGCTCTTCTCTGCCCAGGAGCTCTCTGACCAATCACACAGAGATGTTTCATTATGACATGACAGATTCTGTTGAAAGGTTTATGTTTCGTATGATGAAAAAAAAAAAGTACATATATCCAGCATTTACTTGAGGCCAATCACTTGTCCCGACAAAATTCCACCAGTGATGAAAATAGAAGTTCCTGTTCCCATGGCACCACGGAGAGAGGTTGGAGCTATTTCCCCCAAATACAGAGGTTGAACACAGAGTCCAATGCCTTTAAGAAAAATACAACATGGTTAATGCCAGAATTCAAAGATTAACAAGATGATATCACATTTAAAGGATGTTTTAAAGTTATCAAATGTTTTGACCATTTCTTTGCTGATGATTTACATTGTTTGTTAATATCACTTTTTTTTGTCATTGTACTTGAACGATTACTTTTTTTACATGTTCGAAATAGAAACATTTAAATAAAATGTATTAACAATAATAACGTACCTGCGTTTATTCCACAGAAAAGACGTCCAGCAATGAGTAATTCAAAGTATCCAGTAGGGTAACTCAGACCCATTAGCAAAGCAGCAAATATTGCAAATATATTATTAGCCAACAGGGCCCCTTTTCTGAATAAAAGACAGAGTGTAACTTAATTACTGAAACACAATAATGGAGAATACAAAAAGGCATGTCTTTTCTGATCAATACCTCCCGAGCATCATAGACATCGTCCCACCGATCGTTACTCCAATAAGTCCTCCTACTGTGAATATAGACACAATAGCAGACCAGAGCAGAGTGAGAACATGGTCGGATATGTCCGATTGGTAACGATCGCTCCACGTTTGGTTGATGAAATTATGAACGAACTGGAGAAAAAGAAAAGAAAAACAACATAAACAAATACAGACGAGGGATCCCTGATGAAAAATCTTCATCACCAGCCATCACTATGAAGCGAAGCAGTGTATGTTAGTGATCATCATAATTCATGTACAGTTACTACAGACTATTCTTCATACAGTGTTCAATATGAATACATGAGGTTGAAGATATTGTGGAGACATTTGGACTGTCCCTTAGAAAAGTTATTACCATTGTAGGTGCATTGATGACGGATACATTGTATCCATACTGAAAGGTTCCCCCTATACAAGCAGCACATACAGCCAGAAGAAGAGATCTGTGTGGAAACTGCAATAAAAAACAGATAAAGAGATACACAAAGGAATTTGACATAAAACACATAACACCAAAACAAACAGCTGCACTCCATCTTGTTTCATCTGAATCTACATACCGTTGGTTGCTTAGTATCTTTGATTCCTTTAATAAGCAGAGGTTGATACTCGTCCATAAATTCTTTAGGCATTTTGAAGCGGTTGTTTTGCTCAGAGTACGGTCCAATAAAGTTTGTGCACAGAGACGGGTCTTTCCTTCATGTAAAGAGTTTGTGCTCAAGTGGAAACTTGAATCTGACGAGAGGCCAAGTTTATCCTGAGGATGATACAATTGATCTGTTGTCATAAAGTGACCGCGTGGTGGAGAGAATCGGCTGGACTGTGCATATCATGATTTCATGGCATCAGATCTGAATCAAATCGCGAGATTCGCCTCGGTTGTATTTCTCCAAATGAAAAGAAGGGGGACGTACTAGAGCCAGGGGCGTCAGAGTAAGGGTTGGTAAAGGGGGGTATAAGAAGCCCTCATGTGAGCACGGCTGTGAATAGAAGTGGGTATGAGGAGGGGCCCATACACATTGTATAGGTAAAGGATTCTGAATTGTGTGCTACGCCCCTGACTACAGCCATCCGGGCACATGGTGTTGCGCAGAAGGTCAGAAGACTGAACATTTTTGAATGAATCGCCATGTAGTGCTGTGTAGATTAAATACCAAGGCTTCACAAACAGCTGCGGAGAAGGTTAAGGAAACTGACTGCTGAGAGATAAACTTTCAACAATAGGCTCACTGAGTACTGATTTCTTTCACAAAAAATGAAAAAAAAAAAAATGTCCAGCAGCAATACTGTCTTAATATCTTTTACCACACAAAACCCCAAATCTCAATTACGCTCAAAAAAGGCCAGTGAAAGGTCCAAACGGAACAAAAAAAGATTATGAATCAAAATTTCATGGGACCTTCAGCAAAGTGAAAACTGAATGAAACAATTTGTGTGAGTTAGAACCCCCCCGATATGTGTCAAAGTTCACAAGAGCAGGAATTGAAGTGATGTGAACACCTGCAGCAAACAAAAGTCTGTCTGAATATTTTGGTTTGAAGGGGTTTGTAGAAAAGTCGGAGGTTTATAGGTTCTAATCATTTGCTTTAGTTTGATTAATAAGTCAACTGCTAATGTTTTGTAAAGCTTTTAATAATGTGACGATCATTAATTACACATTATGATAATCTAATTATAACCAAATAAAAATGACTGTCACATGAAATTCATAAAACCTGGAAACTTGCTGTAAATAATGGCATTAAAATGATCTATAGGCAGGTGACTGACTAATATACAAAGTTTATATTTATACAGTTATTGTGTTTAGAAAAAAAAAATATTATTACAATGCATAACCCCTTTCATCACAGAGTTCCTCATTCAATAGTAGTAGATATAGTAGTCGCCCGTTCATATTCTAAGACCACATTTGATAATATTGATTTCTCTCTTCTTCACTTCGACTTGTGCGATGGATACTTTAATTTAAGCAAAGCATCATCGTCCAATAAGTATAAGAAAAATAAACTAAAGAAACCTTGTTGAGCAAAACTCTGTTTACAGGCCAAACCTCACACAGCTCCCCTTACATGGTCTTGTCACAGGCCGTCGCAGAACTCAAATAATAATGCATGTGTGAACAAATACTCATATTCATAGCATATTGGCTTCAGTTCAAAAATTAATCACGTGGAAAGCATACATTTGAATCTAAGCCTGCTCAGGTGCTAAATGGTTCATAAATGAGCTCAGTGGGTCGATTGCAACTCACCGTTTTCTCTGACTCCCTAGTTCCATTGCTGATTTTCATTTTGGATGCTGCCCTAAAAAATAAGTGTGAAAGAACCACGGATAATGGATGTTCCACTTCAGTCTCAGCACTTACATAATGGTCCCTGTTGTCAGGGGCAGCATATGATCTCAGGAGAGGCGGGAGGGTCTGACTCATTAACTTCTCAAACACATTCCTAGCCCCCGGGTGGCCTAATGAAAGGAATGCTGAGTCAAAATCAGAAAATAATATTGCCCCTTTTATTTCTCAGTGCTCACTAACAGGAGTGGACTGTATTTTGTGTAACAATTTTCAATAATTTGTATGCCTACAATCCCCTTTTTATGTATTAGAAAGTAATCTCACAGTGTCACTTGGAGAAAGGGTTTCACTTTACTTCATTCAAGATCATCATGTTAACAGCCGATCATAAAAGATGACACTGTTAGATTAATGATTCTTACAAGTCTGTTCATATTTTGAAATGTATGTCTCTCTAAATTGCTTTCCAAACTTCACATTAAGTCTGTGGCCCTTCATAAAATGAGACACCCACACCGTGCTAACAACACGGGTTGAATCAATTTAGGTCAGTGGCATAACTTTTTTTATTTTAGAAATTTTACACAACAGTTCTAGTAAATAGCTAACAATATCAGCCCGTAAGCTCTGTGAGGCTTTTCAAAGGCATGCTGCTCTGCACGAGTTGAGAATTTTACTGCCATAAACTTTTAATCCTGCATCAGCCTCTGAGAATTTGCAAACAGTGGGAATTTGAGTCCCAAAGTGAAAATCCTCCTTACACATAGAAATTAAACATGCAATTTCTTTATCATGAAAAGTTCCCGATCAGCTTTGTAAGCAGCAGACAGTGGGAAGTGATGATGTCATCCTCAGACTGAACACGATGCAGCTCTGCAGACAGCAGACAAAAGAAACACTCATGTGACGCTGTTTTGGGCTGTTTGAAAACACATGTGATTCAAAGCTAGAAGCCCTCTGCCAAAGAAAATCCTTTTGAATGTAATATATTACAAAGACTTGTTTGAGCTACTGTACTCAATAACAGTCAGATAATTGTCAGAAATGGTACGCTCTTTGTGTGCACAGTTGTGTTCAGGTACACGATGAGCCATAGCAACAGGTGGTTATCATGTTCTCCATAGAAGAAGAAAAGGCTTCATTTTGAAGGGGTGTTTGTGGGACTTAAGTGTTTCATGTCTCAAATCTACTTCTACAAGAGAATAAGTTTAATCATATTATTCAAATGTCCATAATCTCTATTTCTGTTTATTCTTTTGGAGACTGAAAATGTGCTTGTAAATTTATGGCAAGACTTTATGGATGCTTTAAATTTCCATGTTTGGTAGGTTCTTTTTACAGACTCCCACAAGTTTTCATCTTTTATCACATTTTGTTTGTTAATGTATATCTCAGTTTTACTTTTTCTAGTTTTTCTTCTGCACAAATAAAGAATTCAAAAACTAAACTAATCAAAGCAGCTGTGCAGATGAGCCGGCTGATTGGCTGTCTTATTATTAGCAGTTATTTTCAGGTGCACTGGGCACTTGTCATTTTCATGATGCAAATAAACAACAGCTTTCCAAAGTTGTGTAGAACAATAAACAATTAGGATTTGGGTTTAGCTTTTCTCTGTAATCGGAGGATTGCTTGAGTTAATCCCTCTTTCGTGGTTCTGACTCTAAATTCCAGAAATGCAAGCTTTGATGTTAAAAGCTGGGGCCAAAATAGCAACGATATTCATTTCTTAATTTGATGTTGTACATAGTGTAAAGGCAGTAGTGAAATGTGAGGAAATCCGTCAACTCACATACTTCACCACAGGACTGAGGTAGCTTCCTACTTCCCTCCAATGTTACATTGCTTTCTTATTCTTTTTCTTGCAGAGGAAAGAAACAACTGCTGTACAATCAAATCAACTTAATAACCACTTTCAAGTCAAATATCTAATAAATCATTTATACCACAATGCTTTGGAGTGATGTGACTACTAGGGATTGGTATGGATACTTCTAAAATAAAAACTTCATTTGCGATTATGCCCATGATAGCTTGGCTTACTTAAAGGTGCACTATGTAGTTTTGGTAAATAAATTTGAATGTTGGAGAAGTGTACAGATTCCATGGTATATGTTCATAACTCTATAGATAAACTGTCCTCAGAGGAAAATTTGGTCCCTGTAAGTTTGAAGATAAAATGATACGCGAGAAGAAATAGTGGGGGGAGGTGAGAGACCGTAACTCTCCTGGTAGCTTTTAAGCTCTAAATAATGTTCCAGGGACTGTTTTTTTATTTTTATTTAAGTAAAGTTTGTGTATTCAGTTCAGAAACCATAGCATGAAATTATTTCACAACTTTCAGATTTCACCACCAAAACTCCATAGTGCACCTTTAATTAAAAAATAAAAATAAAGAGAAAATTGAAGAACACATGGGTTTTAAAAAATATATTTAGGACTCATTTTATTGTTGAGGTGGGAAATTCATCTGTGCGTAGGAAGCAAAGTTTTGAATTTTCATCAGTTTAGTCATTGCTGGTGTGGGGTTACATGGCATTTGCCCCGTTGGTAATCCAAACGAAAGCTCACACCTGGGACACCCTATACGTCTGAGCAGCGCCTCGCCACAATGCTGTTACTCTCGCTGTGCTTGTCCAGGCCAGCAGGGGCACCAGGGAGTTAATGACTGTTTGCGATTAGGGGAGCTATAGGGGCTGGATGGATTATGAACAGCAGGAGCTAAGGATTTATGACGCAATAACAAATAATTCTACAGAAAATGCTGTTTCATTATCCAGAGTAAAGAATTGTAATGCGTGTTATCTTGTTAACTACCATGTTGGATACACAGGAACAAATCAAGCGCCATCAATAATGTGCTATATATCCTGAACAAATCAAATTCATCAGCACACAGAAACACTAATTGATTTATACAATGCCAAAATTTTAAGCATAATCGACTGTAGAAGTTAGTTAGAATTCAATGTGCTGATTGATAAGGCCGTCATATCTTAAATTTAAAAAAAAAACATCTCCTACCCACTCCCTGCTAGCTAAAGGGTGGCTAAAGTTACCCAGTGTTAGGCACATACATGAAAAAACACAACCTACTTTGAACTCAAGGCGCAAACTTATGCTCTTGAATGCAGTTCGTTCATTAAGTCTTTTTCTTCAACCTTCTCCTTGTCTTCATTATATACTGTATATATATATATATATATATGTTCAGATATCTGCCACACTAGCATTTAGCATCCACGTTGCTCCAATTTGAACGGTCTCATTATTTTCAAAACCGACATCATCCACTTCCCTTCTCCAAACGAACCATAATTCGAAAATTTGCTTTGAATTAGCATTGTATCTCCCTTAACTCTTTCCAGTCTGTGTATTTCAATCAGAGCTGCACTGACAAGAACAATCAAAAAGCAGTCTATGGTTCAGATATTCAAACGTACCTAGCACAAGAAAGGCTCAGGCAAGAAAAAAGAAAAATCCCTTTGCGACTTCGTTCCCACTGTTCACAGATTTGCAATCTGTAATAATAAATTTACAAACAACTTTTTAATTTTTTCAAGGCCTAGATGAGAAATTGTTTTGGATTGTCTCATAAAACAATTCAGATAAATTAAAGGGGAGATACTATGAATATTATGAATCCACTTTTACAGTGACTTTGAACTGTGGGTAACCTGAGTGTCTACCGACCCACAAAATGTGAAATAAACCCATCCAGTCCTTAGTTTGTGGTCTGCATAAGTCTACAAAACAGAGAAAAGTGCCCAGTTTTCACCTTGTGATGTCACAGTGGGATTTTGATAAAAAAATAAAAAAATAAAAAAATAAAAACATCCCCTCCCCTGATAGCTCCACCCACGGACTCCTTTGCATTTAAAGAGACAAACACACCAAAACGCAGCGTTTTGAGAGAGCTGGTTTATACAGGGTCACAAACCTCCTCTGAGGCCTGATTCATGTTATATTTTAACCAAAGCACAGCACAGATGTTTCATTTATATATAATATGTCCTCTTTAATAGAATATCATGAGACTCCACTGTTCATGTTTAGTCTGTTGCTCGTGTGATGTCAGGGTTTGACCGCTGGAGGGCGCTTCATCCGCACAGGAGCCCGATGTGCGACACTGACACTCTTCCCCCGGAGGTTTTATGGGGACCCGCTGAGAGGCGGCTGGTGGCTGGTGGTCATAATGTCGGGCAGAAAGCCTCGGTCTGTGGCAAACCCCCTGGAGTCTGCGATCACTACGCCGGGGGAAAGGATCCTGAAAGAATGCCACAGTCTGTATGTCGACAGCGAAAACGGTAAATATTCAACAACCAGGTTAAAAAAAAAACGAGCCAAGTTGGTGAAGACCATGCAGCAGAAACAAGCAAGCCTAGTTGTGCTGTTATATAACTTTGTGGATCAGTTGGACTCGAAGTTTGAGATGGTGTTAAAAGTGAAAGCCTGTAGGTATGAGGTGGGGACTTGTTGGTGGTCTGCAGCAGCTGTCGGGTCACTGATAACATTGATAACTGAGGCTTTTCTGCAGCCTGCAGCAGGGCAGCGCCTCAACTCTGTCAGGTAACACCCCTGCACCATGTTGTATGGCAAACTGTTGAGCCCAGAGGGGCTAGGACTGAACCAACAACATGTCTCTTTTGTGTGCTGGAAGGTGTACAACAATACGTCTTTTATACTGTGAAGTTCACTGAGCGTTTCAGAGCTCAGAGTCAATGAGGAGCCGCACTGTGTCCTGTCTAACTTTTACACTAATATTGTTACAGTAGCTGCATTATACAGTTGATCATCAAACCACTTCTTTTTTTTTTTGTCAAGTATTAAGCTAATTATGAGTTCGTTTTGGATATGTGACAAAATGTATTTTTGTTTCTTTACTCCCCTATGTCACTTCACTGAATATATTGAGGTTGTAGACAAGAGGAACATTTAAGGGTGTCACCTTGGGCTTGTAGAAATAATGATCCAAAATATCCCCCAAAACACCAGATCAATAATAAAAAAACACATGATCATTCCATTATGAGTTATGACAATAAACATTTGTTGC